TAAAAGGTGGGGTACAGAGCTAAATAGAGAATTCTCAATAGAGGAGGCTAAAATGGCCAAGAGACACTTAAGAAAGTGCTCAACATCCTTAGCCATCAGGGAAATGCAAATCAAAACAACTTTGAGATACCATCTTACTCCTGTCAGAATGGCTAAAATCAAAAACACCGAAGACAATTTATGCTGGAGAGGATGTGGAGAGAGGGGAACACTCCACTATGTTCATAGCAGCATTATTTGTAATAGCCAGAACCTGGAAGCAACCTAGATGCCCCTCAACTGAAGAGTGGATAGAGAAAATGTGGTACATTTACAAAATGGAGTATTACTCAGCAGAAAAAAACAATGGAATCTTGAAATTCGGAGGTAAATGGCTGGCACTGGAAGAAACCATCCTGAGTGAGGTAACCCAGTGGCAAAAAGACAAACATGGTATGTACTCACTCATATATGGATTTTGAGAGTCTGGGAAACAGAAAGATCTAAAAGATATGCATAGTACCCAAGAGAAGAGGAATGAGGCAAGATCCTCTGAACAGATGGGGAACATGGCGAGGGGTGGCGGGGGAGTGGGAGCTGGGAAGAAGAGAGGGGGGAAGAGGAAGAGAGAGTAGGTCATGGGGAAACAGGAAGGTTGAGGGGGGTAGAATAGGAGGAAGAGGGAAATATAGGGTAGAAGACAGATCAGGCACCAGTGTGACCTCTAGTGATCTGAAGGGATGACATCAATTGGCAAGCTAAGGAATAGTGGAGAGCCCACCTCGAATTTCCATTCCTTGTAATGAACTTGATGTCTATAACCATCCGGGAGCCTTCATCCATTGACTGATGGAAGCAGAGGCAAACACCCACAGTTAAACACTGAACTGAACCCAAGGAACCCAGTGACAAGAGTGAGAGGAGCGATGAGCAAATAGGCAAAGAATGGGCTGGCAAAACCAGCAGAGACAGCTGATCTGAACAGGGGAGAGCTCTTGGACCCCAGACCGACAGCTGGGAGGCCAGCATGGGACTGATCCAGACCTCCTGAATGTGAGTGTCAGTGAGGAGACTTTGGCAACCTATGGGGCCCTGAAATTCTCCCTGGAATACAAACAGACATCATGTGTCCATAACACAAAGAGGGATGCTCTCTCAGACTGGACTCTTAGGGGAGTATCTGGACCCTACCCTGAGTGAAATGACAGACTCTAGATATCCCCTATGTGGAAGGAATTGGCAATAGGGTGGGAGGCTGGGGAGGGATGTGGGGGTGCGGCAGGAGGGGAAGGAGAGGGAACTGGGATTCAGGAGTTCATTTCATTGTTAGCTGTTGGTGTCTGCCTCTACTTCTATAAGCTACTGGATGAAGACTCTAGGATGGCATATAGGGTAGTCATCAATCTCATTATCAGAGAAGGGTTGTTAAGGTAGCCTCTCAAAGTTTGCTTATGTTGCCAGTTGGGGCCGTCTTTGCAGATCTCTGGAAATCTCACTAGTGCCAGATCTCTCCTCAAACCTATAATGGTTCCCTCTATTAGAAGAGAACAGGATAAGGGATACCATAATAGAGGTTTAGGGTTTTCAATACCATATCACCTTAGGAACTATATGAGACAGCAGTAAGTAGAACAGATCATTAGAATTTTCTTTGACATTGCACCTCATTGTGGTTTTTGCTTCTAATGAGAAACCCCTTGAACCAACACATTTAGCAGTTTGTCATGGTTTTGGTGTATGCTACAGATGCTATGTTAACAATTGTTAGAGTACGCTTGTAGCACAAAACACATTTTCTCTTCCTTTTTCTGGATAAGTTTTTTTTGTTGATTCACTAAATTAATGAGGAACATCCTCATAATTCATGCCTGAATTAAGCTTAGCTAACACATTTTCTCTGAAAGGCATATTGCAGAGTTGTGCTAGAATCTATTCATTACTGCTCTGGAGCTCTTTTAAATAGCAAAATCAACAAAGGTATAAGCCAAGAAATTGTGCTACTAAGTAGATCATTAAAAGACATGTATACATAGCACATAGCTGACAAAAGATGATCAGGCAACCATGTTTGATCTCACTTGGGAGAGTGTCAGCTAACTCAAATTTTTTGCCACTCTGCAAAAATAGCTGGTATAATGCTGGTTTGGGAGTTGCAGATACATCCTAGGTATCAGATGCATCTACAAATATATAATACAGAGATAGTGATGAGTGGAGTCTCTCTCTCTCTCTCTCTCTTGCTGTCTCTCTCCATCCCTTCTCCCAACACCCATCTCCTCTTAAAATATTCCTTAAATTTACATGTAAACCTACTCACAATGTATTTGAGGGCAAAATGCGCATATGATTGTTCCTTAATTCCTAGGAAAAGATCTCTATCTCTTCAAAATAGGTAAGAGTCTTTGATTTCATGAGGAAGGTATTTGGTGGTGTGCGTGTGTGTGTTTCGGGGGGGGTGATGATTTATGTGTACTTGATTATGTCCGAATGTGGCCATATCAATTTTCCTTTACTCATATCCATTTGACAATACTTGTACTTGCAATATTTCAGTCTTTCTTACCTCCCTAAATTTTAATATACCCCCTCTTTCTCTGCCTTCCTCTGCCTTGGTAGAGGCTATCTCAAAACTTATTTCATATTATTTGAGGATCTAATCAGTAGGATCTAATTGGACTTACTGATAAGAGAGAACAGGGTTTCCAATATGCATGTGCTCCCTTAAAAGTGTCATATTTCTTCTTCCCTTTGACAATCACAGCTTCTCTTTAACCCTTGCAGTGCCATACCTGAAAGGACAGTAAATACAAGGTAGTCATTGCTTGACATATTAAGAGACATTAAAATCTGGTTTATATTGTCATTAGGCTTTCATTCAGTTTAACTGCCAACCTCTGTTCCTAGGGGTTATTTGCTATTTTTGCTGTCGCTCATCAAACACATCTTAGGTTTCTCAATGGAAAACTCATTGCTTATAATTAGGCATGGAAGTTTGTGTACGTTTGGCTCTTTTGTCTTATAGACTTATTCTATACACGTTCTATAAGGATGGAAAAACAAAACAAAGCAACTGCAGTGGTCAGCTATGTTTTCAGACAAGTAATATAAGACTAGAGAAATGGCATATTTCCAACTTTAAAGCAAAGTTAATGGTAGAGAGAATGCTATAAGGAATTAAATAAAGCACTGGTATCCATGGTGATGCTAGCATAGTGGAAATATTTCTCTTCTCATTTCTGTCTTGAATGAAATCTGAACAAGGACTTAGGCATTCAGTGATATTATTTTAATTCTATTCTTATAATTTTATTCAAATATTTAAAAATCTTTTAAGAAATTTGTATTAAAAATATAACTGTGTAGATATATATTTGCATGTTTTATATAAAATGCTAAGAACATGTGTGCTTTCAACTAAAATATCTTTGAAAATGCCACTCTTCTTCACTTTTTCTTATTAATTTATCCATAACTGTAAAACATTTAATAATAAGTGTTTTCTAGGAAATTTTTTCCATTCTTTCTTTTAAGAAGTTTTATTACTTGAGGTTATATATAATTACATTACTTTCCTCTCCCCTTTCTTCTCTACAAACCCTCCAATTTACCCCTTCTTGTAGTCTTTCAAATTCATGGCTTTTTTCTTCATTTTGTTATATACATACATACATACATACATACATACATACATGTTTACAAACTGATCAGTCTGTATAATAATAAAGATTGTAAGAGTCTGAAGAACAGGGAGTTTGCTGTGAGACTGTCCCTAGGAATTTTTAAAAGAAATATATTGAAGACTGAAAATACTGACCTCAACAAGAGTACAAAAAGAAGTGAGTGAAACAATTATATACCGATTTTTATATATTTATATTTCAACACCCATATTAAGAGAGAATTATTTAAATTTTAATTGATAATTGCTGATTTGGAGTTAAAACTTTTTGCTAGCTCTTAAGCCAGTAAGATATCATCATCACTTCTAAGAATCTTTCAGTTCTGTGATCTTTACTCTCATTATAGTAAGATTTTCATTTCATATTTTATAGGATATGGATATTTCTGTATTATACCCCTTTTACCCTTCCTTCCTTCCTACCCTCCCTCTTTCTTCTTTCCCTCTTTTCTTTTTTCTACTTCTTCCCATCATTGTTTTTTGTTTCTTCTTTCTCCCAAGATGGCCTTGTACCTTGTACCTTCAGCTACACAAGGCTTCTCCCATCCTCACTATGTAGCTCAGGTTAGCCTCAGGTTTGATTACTAGTATGTTTGTCTCCCAAGTGCTGGACTGTTACCAAGCCCAGGTTGTTCTTGTACTTTCTGTACACAATTTATTGTTATACCTTTAGTGTCCACAAAGATGATATTTATTTCTCTGAGACAAGGACTGGCTTATTGCTCACACTAGTCTTGATTTTCTGGTCCAAGCAATCCTCTTGCCTTAGCTTTTCAAGTATCTTGGACTTCAAGTGTGAATCAGTATGTTAAGTCCACTCATTAGTCATAAGCAAATCAGTCAGTGAATGAACACATAACCACTTGTTTACTTTTATTTAAATCAAGTGCTATGGTTTTGCTTGTCAGGATAAGGGAGGGATGGTAGTTGTTGTGGTTAGAGCAGGTGGAAAGAATGCCGGCTATCTGTTTATGCTCCAGACTGGTTACCATGGCAGTCTTCCTCAAGGTGAAAAATGTCTCAGACAGTGGTTACAATTATATAGATTTCTAGTGTGAGTACCTTTGTCCCCAAATCTGCAATCATGGAAATATTTTAAAAAGTTGTTAGTTCCCTGGGAAAAATTTGCTCTAGATCGAATCTTGATTTGAAAAGTTTTATTTAGTAAGTTTTTAATTCATTCTTAGCACAAAAATCTCTCCAAATTGGTTAAAACATAGATAGCATATTTCAAATTAAAAATTGGAAACCCAAACAGAAATATTGTACTACTTAAAACACTTTTGTCATTTGCCACAGAGTAGCACTGCGGTGCTGCTCCTGCCTGCTCCAAAAGCCTACCCACACGGTTCATGCGTGCTTGCTTCCAGCTGGTGGTCTTCCTGCCGGCCCTGTGTCGGAAGATGGGCGTCCCCTACTGCATCATCAAGGGGAAGGCCAGGCTGGGACGGCTGGTCCACAGGAAGACATGTACCACCGTTGCCTTCACACAGGTTAACTCGGAAGACAAAGGTGCTCTGGCTAAGCTGGTGGAAGCTATTAGGACCAATTACAACGACAGATACGATGAGATCCGCTGCCACTGGGGAGGCAATTTCTTGGGTCCTAAATCTGTGGCTCGAATTGCCAAGCTGGAAAAGGCAAAGGCCAAAGAACTCGCCACTAAACTGGGTTAAATGTACACTCACTGCTAAGTTTTCTGTACATAAATACAAACTTATCTTCCATCTAAAAAAAACACTTTTGTAGTATTTAGGTTTAGAATATATTGAAAATTATGGCATTTAAATTCAATATTTAAAAATTTTCCAGATTATGTTATAATTGCCACAAACTGAGTTGCACATATAGTCTACTATTTAAAATATTTTGATGTTTGTGTGGACTTTTGTATTTTCTGTAACAAATATGAGCATGGCATTGCCCTTGGAAGCATGCTCAGATGCCCATATCCCTTCCTCCTATCTTGTCAGCCATTGACCTGTTTCTGTCATTACATATTTGTGGAAATTTGAATAAAAATGGCCCCTATAGGCCCACAGGGAGTGGCACTATGAGGAGGTATGACACCATTGGGAGTAGGTGTGGAATTGTTGAAGGAAGTGTGAGTCTCATTCTCTTCCTGCTGCCTGTGCATTTAGACATAGAACTCTCAACTACCTCTCCAGAACAATGTCTGCCTGCATACCACCACGTTTCCCACCATGACAATAATGGACTAACCCTCTGAAACTGTAACCCAGCCCCAATTAATTGTTTTCCTTTATAAGCGTTGCCATGGTCTCAGTGTCTCTGCACAGCAATAGAAACTCTAAGGCAGTATTTAATTGGTATCTAGAAGTTCCATGGCTATCATTGCATAATATGATTATTTCAAGACATATATGCTGATGGAAGTATATGACTGTTTAAATGCTAAATACTGTTTTGTTATATGAACGTGCAATAATTTCACCTTCACCTAGTTTTGTGGTATATGTTTTTATCAGTTTCTATTATCAACAAAACTCTGGTGAACATATATACCCCTTTAAGCAGAAATATTTCAGCAAGAATATAAAAAGATAAATATTATAGTTAGAAGAAAAAATATCAGGCAGAATTTATAAATTACTGTAAGTTACTAACAAGGGAATGGTCTAAACATTCTCATACACAGTTTGATGCACAATTTCTTTTCTCTTGTGGACATTCCTCAGAGGGGACTGGTTGATTATATGGTAGTGGTAAACTTATTAAGGAACTACCAAACTATTTTCTAAAAAGATTCACTTTGGTGTTGCTCTGTCCTGAAAACAAAAGACTATGTAATCTGATTTCTTATGAACACTTGGTATGAGCCTGTTAATTTTAGTTACTTCAGTGAATGAATAGCTCTGTGTTATCTTATTTGAATTGCATTTACCTAGCGATTAATGATAGCATCTTTCCTTATGCTTATTTTCTGCTATTTTTTTTTGATAAAATGAATCTTGAAATAAGCAGGCAAATGGATGGAACTAGAAGAAATGATCCTGAGTGAAGTAACCCAGTCAAAAAAAGGCAAACATGGTGTGTATTCTCTCATATATGGATTTTAGACATAGAACAAATGATTACCAACATATAATCCACATGCCAAAGAAACTAGGAAACAAGGAGGACACTAAGAGAGACATACATGGTCCCCCAAAGAAGAAGAAAGGGATAAGATCTCCTGAGCAAATTGGGAGCATGAGGAGGAGGGAAGCAGGAGTTAGGGGAAAGAGAATGGGAAAAGAGAAAGGGGGAGGACAGAAGAGAGCAGGAAGATCCAGTCATGAGAAGAATAGAGGAGAGCAAGAAAAGAGATACCATAATAGAGGGAGCCATTATAGTTTTATTTTTCATTTTTTATTTAAATTAGAAACAACCTTCTTTTATATGTCAATCCCAGTTCTCTCTTCCTCCCCTTCTCTGGTGGCTCCACGATCCCCTATCCCATCTTCTTTCTGTTCCCAGGGAGGGTGAGGCCTTCCATGGGGGAATCTTCAAAGTCTGTCATATCATTTGGAGCAGGGCCTAGGACCTCCCCCGTGTATCTAGGCTGAGAGAGTATCCCTCACTATGGATTGGGATCCCAAATCCATTCGTGTGCTAGAGATAAATACTGATCCACTACTAGTGGCCCTATAGATTAACCAGACCTTCAAACTAACATGCTCATTCAGAGGGTTTCTCAGCTATCAGTCTGGTGTCCATGAACAACTCCTTGTTTAGGTCAACTGTTTCTGTAGATTTCTCCAGCCTGGTCTTGACCCATTTGTGCATCACTCCTCCCTCTGTGCAACTACCTTCCAGGAGTCGGCTTGATGTTTAGCTGTGGGTGTCTGCTTTTGCTTCCATCAGCTACTGGATGGAGGCTCTAGGAAGGCATTTAAGGTAGCCATCAATCTCATTATCGGAGAAGGGTTTTTAAGACAGCCTCTCAGACTATTGATTAGATTGTTAGTTAAGATCTCTGGACATATCCTTAGTGCCAGATTTCTCTTTAAACCTATAATGGTTCCCCCTATTATGGTATCTCTTTTGCTGCTCTCCTCTATTCTTCCACTGATTTGAACTTCCTGCTTGCTCCTGTTCTCCTCTACCCTCCTCTTCTCCTCTTCTCTTTCTTCTAACTCCCTCTTCCCTCCCCCCAAATTCCCAATTAGCTCAGGAGATCTTATTCCTTTCCCCTTTTCCAGGGGACCATGCTTGTCTCTCTTAGGGTCCTCCTTGTTTCCCGGGCTTCTATGGCAGTGTGGATTGTAGGCTGCAACTCCTTTGCTCCAGGTCAAAAATCCATATATGAGTGAGTGCATACCAATTTTGTCTTTTTATGCCTGGGCTACCTCACCCAGTATGGTTTCTTCTAGTTCAATCCATTTGCCTTGGAACTTCAAGATTCCATTGTTTTTTTTTTTCTGGTGAGTAGTAATCCATTGTGTAAATGTACCACATTTTCTCAATTGATTCTTCAGTTGAGGTGACATCTAGGTTGCTTCCAGGTTCTGGCTATTACAAATAATGCTGCTATGAACACAGTGAACAGATGTCCTTGTTATATGAATGCACCACTTCTAGGTATACAACAAAGAGTGGAATTGCTAGATCTTGTGGTAGACTGATTCCCATTTTACTGAGGAATCTCCATACTATTTCCAAAGTGGCTGTATGAGTTTACACAACCGTCAGCAGTGGAGAAGTGTTCTCCACAGCGCAAACTGTCATTGTGTTTTTGATTTTAACCATTCTGACAGTTAAAGACGGTATCTCAGAGTTGTTTTGAACTGCACTTACCTGATGTCTAAGGATTTATTGCATTTTCTTGTGTGTCTTTGAGCCATTTTAGATTCCTCTGTTGAGAATTCTCTATTTAATACTGTATGCCATTTTTAATTGGATTTTTTGGTGTTTTGGTGACTAGCTACTTGAGTTCTTTGTATATTTTGTAAATAAGCCCTCTGTCAGATTTGGGGTTATTCTGTGGGGTACTGTTTTGTCTTGTTGACTGTGTCCTTTGCCTTACAAAAGCTTCTGTTTCAGGAGGTCCCATTTATTAATTGTCAGTCTCAGTGTCTGTGCTACTGGTATCATGTTCAGGAAGTGGTCTCTTGTACCTGTTTGTTCAAGGGTACATCCCACTTTCTCGTCTAATAGGTTCAGTGTGGCTGGATTTATGAGGTTTTTGATCCATTTGGACTTAAGTGATGTGCATGGCAATACATATGGGTCTATCTGCAGTCTTATGCAGACCAGCATCCAGTTATACCGGCACCATTTGTTGAAGATGCTTTCTTTTTTTTCCATTGTATAATTTAGCTTCTTTGTCAAAAATCAGATGTCCATAGGTGTGTGGGTTAATATCAGTGTTTTCAATTTGATTCTATTGGTCTGTCTATTTTTGTGCCAATACCAAGCTGTTTTCAGGACTAAAGCTCTGTAATAGAGCTTGATGTCAGAGATGGTGATGACTCTGGAAGTTCCTTTATTGTACAGGGTTGTTTTGGCTAACCTGGGTCTTTTGGTTTTCCATATGAAATTGAGTATTGTTCTTTCAAGGTCTTTGAAGGATTGTGCTAGGATTTTGGTGGGGATTGCACTGAATTTGTATATTGTTTTTGGCAAGATTGCCTTTTTTACTATGTTGATCCTACCTTTCCAAGAGCATGGGAGATCTTTCTATTTTCTGGGATCTTCTTTAATTTCTTTGTTTAAAGAATCTAAGTTCTTCAAAACAGGTCTTTCACTTGTTTGGTGAGCGTTATGCCGAGGTATTTTAGGTTGTTTGTGGCAAATGTTTCTCTGATTTCTTTCTCAGCCCTTTTATCATCTGTATATAGTAAAGCTATTGACTTTTTTAGTTGATCTTGTATCCTGCCACTTTGCTGAATGTGTTTGTTGGGTCACTTATTTAACATCAGCAAATAGTGAAAGTTTGGCTTCTTCTTTTCCAATTTGTATCCCCTTGATTTCCTTTTGTTGTCTTATTGCTCTAGCAAGAACTTCAAGTACAATTTGAAGAGATATGGAGAGAGTGGACATCCTTGTCTTGTTCCTGATTTTAGAGGAATCAAGTTGAGTTTTTCTCCATTTAGTTTGATGTTGACTATTGGTTTGCTATATATTGCTTTTATTACATTTAGGTATGTTCCTGTTATTCCTGATCTCTCCAAGATGTTTGTCATAAAGGGGTGTTGAATTCTTTCAAAGGCTTGATCAGCATCTAGTAAGATGATCATGTGGTTTTTTTCTCAGTTTGATTATGATGGACTACATTGATGGATTTTCATGTGTTGAACCATCCCTGGAATGAAGTGTACTTGATCATGGTGGATTATTTTTCTGATGTGTTCATAGATTCAATTTGCCAGTATTTTTATGAGTATTTTTATATTAGTATTCATGAGGGATATTGGTCTGTAGTTCTCTTTCTTAGTTGTGTCTTTGTGTAGCTTGGGTACCAAGATTATTGAAGCCTTGTAAAAAGAGTTTGGAAATGATACTTCTGCTTCTATTGTGTGTAGTACTTTGAGGAGAATTGGTATATGCTGTTCTTTGCATTTCTAGTAGAATTATGCACAGAATCCATCTGACACTGCAATTTTTTTTGGTTGGGATAATTTGGATGACTGTTTCTATTTCATTAGGAGATATAGGTCTACTTAATTTGTTTATCTGTTCATTGTTT